GGCGTTACACAGCTCACAGCAACCTCCAACTCCTGGGCTTAGGCAATTCTCTTGCCTCAGCCTCCCGAGTAGCTGGGACTACAGGTGCCGGCCACATGCCTAGCTGTTATTTTGTTGCAGTTTGGCTGGGGCTAGGTTTGAACCCGCCACCCTTGGTATATTGGGCGGGCGCCCTACTCACTGAGCCACAGGCACCACCTGGTTGTTCTATTTTTAATTTTTTGAAGAAACCCCATATTGTTTTACATAATGGCTGTACTATCCCCCAAATTATTTCTATATTTATTCATTTGTTTATTAATTCATTCACTTGTTCATTTAATGAATATTCAACAGACTCCCACTAGGTACCAGGCACTGTTGAAGGCACTAAGTGCACAGAACCACCCATGATCTCCCAAAGCTTATAGTCAAGTGGGAGAGTTAAAGAAAATATAGACCAAAGCAAGGGAACTGCAAGTAATAGGTTATGGCCAGGGAATACCATTCTGAGGAGGTGACATTCCAGAAAAGGCCTGGATGAAATGAGGGACTGAGCCATGTGAACAGCTGGGACAGGAGGGCTCCAGGAAGAGGGAGTGACAGGTCTGAGTCAGAAGTGTTTTGCATGACCAAGAACAGCAAGGGAGGTCTGAAAGCCACAGTCAGCGGGAAAGTAGTAGGAAATAAGGTGGACAGGTAGGTAGAGACCAGATCACGTGGTGCCATAAAGTCCTCACTGGGTAGGGGTGATAGACTTTGTTCTAAGTGTGATAGGAGGCTATGGAGAATTTTAGATGATGGACATGATCTGATTTACTATTTAGAATGATCACACAAGCTTGTGTGTGAAGACAGAATGTTAGCACCGAGAGTAAAAGCAAGGAGACCATTATTGCCAACGTCTGTGTGGAACTCATGGCAGTTTAGACCAGGGTGGTTGGGTTAGGGATAAATGGCAAGGTTAAAGCAGACAGAATCTGCTAACCGACTGGAAATGGGAATGAAAGAAAAAGAGCAATCAAGAATGGCTCCAAGAGGCTGGGCGCAGTGGCTCACACCTGTAATCCTAGCATTTGGGAGGCTGAGGTGGGTAGATTGCCTGAGCTCAGGAGTTCAAGACCAGCCCGAGCCAGAGTGAGACCTCGTCTCTAAAAATTAGCCAGGCATTGTGGTGGGCACCTGTAGTCCCAGCTACTTGGGAAGCTAAAGCAAGAGAATCACTTGAGCCCAAGAGTTTGAGGTTGCTGTGAGCTATGACGCTACAGCATTCTACTGAGGATGACAAAGTGAGACTCTGTCTCAAAAAAAAACCCAGGCATGGTGGCTCACACCTGTAATCCCAGCACCTGCTGAGGCAGGTGGATTGCCTGAGCTTACAAGTTCAAGACTGGCCTGAGCCAGAGCAAAACTTCATCTCCAAAAATAGCTAGGTGTTGTGGTGGGCACAGATAGTCCCAGCTACTCAGGAGGCTGAGGCAAGAGAATCGCTTAAGCCCAGGAGTTTGAGGTTGCTGTGAGCTGTGTTGCCACAGTACTCTACCAAGGGTGACAAAGTGAGACTCTGTCTCAAAAAAAGAAGGAATGGCACCAAGGTTTTTGACCAAGATGGGGAAAACCCCAGAAGAGTAGGTTCACAGGTGGAGAACAGGAGTTCTGTCTTGGTTTGAGATACCTGTTAGGTAGCTAGAAATGCTCAGTAGAAAGGGAAACAAAATCCTTCCCTGGTAGACAACCTGGTTTTCTAATATTTAGGGGTAGTAAGTCAGCTTACTGATTCCTGCTGTGACTTCAATTGGCTGCTTCCTGTTACAGTAGACATAGCCCATCTGGATACTCCTCTACTTCAGACAAAGCAAAACAGTAACTCCAGCCTTGCCAAGGAATTGCAAGGTAGCACAGAACTTGCATTGGTTAAATTCCACACAACAGTAGAGCGTTGCTTGGAGACCAGCTCCACAAGTTGATGCTGTGAGGGTTATTCAAGTTCATGCAAGCTGGACTCTGTCACAGAGCCACTCCCTAATTATGAGTTGGGTAATCCTCTCCTCTAAGCAAGCCGGGAAGCCCGGAGTGGAGAATGAGAAGACACAGGACCAAATGGATTTGATTTTGCAAGTTTGGAGGACAGTGTGGTAGAGTGGGAAACGCATGATCTCTGGAGCCAAATAGAGATAGATTCACATTCCTTCTCTGCTCCTTTCTACCTGTGTAATCTTTGATGTGTTACTTTACCTTTTTTAGTCTAGATCTCAGGTTTCTAGGCCACAAAGCAAGATAAGATTGTTGTAGAGATTAAATAAACTTTGCGTGCAAACCCCTGGCACCCAGGAGGCATTCAGAAAGGATAATTCCCTTTTCCTATGTCCAAGTCTCCTCTCTCCTAAGTTGCTATTTAGAGATAACCCTCTTTTCCACATTTCCCACACGCTTCAGCTTTCCTTCACTGGGCTCCCATCCCAAATCTTCATGCTGTAACTTCATGCTCTAACTCCTCTTGCTGGAGGAAATGTCCCCTCCAGCCTCCCCACTCTCCTTCAGCCAGGACATGACATTTGCTTGTCCTCCTAGAGATAAAGACCAGAGTCGCAGCATCTTCTCCGGGTTTGCGGGAGTCCTTGCCATCCTCCTTTTCGTTGCGGTTTTCTGCATCTTGTGGAGCTGGTATAAAAGGAAGAAGTGTGAGTCTTTTGCTGGTTCTGAGTTGAGACATGGTAGGATTAAAAATTAGCTTGGCGGCCAGGTGAGGTGGCTCATGCCTATAATCCTAGCACTCTGGGAGGACGAGGCTGGTAGATTGCTTGAGCTCACAAATTTGAGACCAGCCTGAGCAAAAGTGAGACCCCATCTCTACTAAAATAGAAAATCTGAGGCAACAGGATCACTTGAGCCCAAGAGTTTGAGGTTCCTGTGAGCTATGATGTCACAGCATTCTACCCAGGGCGATAGCTTGAGACTCTGTCTCAAATAAATAAATAAATCTAGCTTGGCTGGCTCGGCGCCTGTGGCTCAAGCGGCTAAGGCACCAGCCACATACA